AGTAAGAAAAAGGTTTATAACGCTGTGAGCATGGGTCTGCGGAGAGCATTTCTCCGCGATCCCAACGTAGTAGCCCGAAAAACGTTTACCCATTTAAACAGTCGTGGTAGATACCTTGTTTGTTTTAAACATCAAAAATACACAAACAACAATGGATACTTACAGGTTGTGTACCCGAATCTCCCGCTGGTCCAAACAAAGTAGGAACAGCATCGTTCTTCAGTGCCCTACGCTGTACATATCCGGCATGAATCGCTCAAAGGTTTGGGAAGCTTTGTTTCGTGAAAGGCTGGCAGAGGGTGTGGCCATAGCTCTGGGCGTGGCTACTGGGTATCCCTACGTAGTGATACCTAGGAAGTAAACATTGGAAAATGAGAAATCTCCAACGAGGCGTTTGGGGAGGTCTTTTCTGTGTTAGAGTTTTACTCGCTACAGGGTGTACTTTGAGGGTTTTTGACTCTGCAGACCGTTTACATGCATAAAAACCTTCATAACACACAAGGGGACGGGTAATAACCGGAAAAGCATGACATGGGCCCTTTAACATTGATTTGAATGTGTTGAGGATATTTCCCCCCTGCCAAGGAGATGATGTTTCCCTGGGTCTGTCTGTCAGCAGCATTACAGAAAGACCACTGGCTAGATTGTCATAAGACTAGGTGTCAGTGTTTTGAATGGTACAAAGAAGATCCTAATATTTGTTGGAGTGTATCCAAATTCCTCGGCAAATACACACATGCTTTTTCACTTTGGTTATCATTTGTGGATATGGCGGTTGTCCTTGGCGAGGTCTGCGTCCTCTGTCTGAGGGCCCTAGTTTAATCTGTATTTGTTTGCATATCTCCCTCTCTTTATGACTTAATCATTCAGAATGTCTAAATTTAGAACAACCTGTCTTCAAAGGTTTTTCACGGTGCCTGAGAGAGCTCAATGCACAGCTACAATGCAAATAAATAAAACAGTAAAATTAAAAGACTGGCAGCAGTGGGTGGGGGGGGGGTGCCAACACCTCAGCTGGAGTCCCTGTGTCTCTGCTGGAGTGTTGGAAGACACGGTCAGTGAGCAAAGCTTTTACTCTAGGTCTCTGTACGTCACATTACAGCATACTCACACTCAGGGAAGCTGTGCACAGTCACTGCACCAAACAGCCAATACAGCATGTTACTTCTTTAAATGGCAAAAACTGCTTTAGCATGGATGCACGAGATTTTCTTCTCCCCTCTCTTGTACAGAACCAGCCTGCTAGCTGTTTCACCGTTTTGAGTATTTGTCTTAACAATGACGTTGGAAAATGAGCATTCCTTTCAGAGTAAAAGCAGTTCCAATTGCTATTTCAGGTTTTTGACACTGTAGAGATAACCCTGAAACTGTCGGTATTTACCCATGATGATATCATCTCCATAAAGAACCTGCAGAGAATTATTATTATAGAGATCTTTCCTCAGATCTTTAAGTGTTAGCTCATTGCTTCTCTGTTGGACTCATAGCTTTCACTAACATTCTGAATATATGGTGGCAATATTGGCGATGGCATTGGAAAGACATACTGTAATGTTATCCGTTTACTAATCAGACCTTTTCACACATCAAAGTTTTGTGTGTTTTATATTCATTATTCACAAAAGAGGATCTCTGTAACAGTTAAATACGTGCCTGTTACTCGTTGTTTCTGTTAACACCGTATAGGGTCTCCTTCAGGGGGGGGGGGGTGTATAATGCTGTGTGTTTACAGGAGCCTGGTGTAGGGAAGTGTTGTACGTACAGTGTGAATGTGTGTTTGACATCCTCATACAGTACATTCACACACACACACACACACACACGCACACGCACACACACACACACACACACACACACACACACACACACACACACACACACACACACACACACACACACACACACACACACACACACACACATACACATACACATACACATACACATACACACACACACAGGATGAGCTGTAGACGCTGGGGATAAAACGAGTTAAACCTCTCTGAGAAATGACTACAGAAGTGATTACATGCAAATCATTTTCTTAGAAAATACATTCTTTGTCAGTAGAGTTTTATTAATATTAATGTGTGTATTTTTCAGGTAAGATTTGTTTGGAAATAGGAAGTGATGGAGAGAAACTAAGTACCTTAACTCAAGTCTTGTACTTCTGTTTCTGAGTTACTTTACTTTAGTAACTCCACTACTTTTTACTAGGCTACATTTATCTGACTGATTTAGCTTAAAAGATTCAGATTAATCATAATAATACAAATGTAATTCACCAATATTATAACATGTAAAGGTAGTTTAGATATTTGTTATTTCTCCCATGGTGAATTTCAAGCTGCACAGTACATTTGTGAACATTGAAACATGAACACAATAATGCATCAATGATTATTATTCCAGATAAATATATCATTCTGTATACTTTAATGATACCCTATTTCTACATTCTAAAGGTATAACAACTTGTATTTGCAAAGAAAGATCTCTCTGTACACTGGAAACACTTTGGATCATTTCTGTTTGACAGAATGATGAGTCAGTGTGTATTATGTAAGGGGGGTGTCACACGACTGTTTAAAGGAGCGTGTGACTCAGCAGCCTGGAGCTGTGCTCTGCATCTCCTCTTCCTCCACTGTGAGGAGAACACACTCACATTTAGTATGAGGAGGCAGGTGATGCCTTCAGATGATGCAGGACCACTGAAATATGAAGGAATAACTCCATCTACTGGCCAACCACTGAGAGACCTGCAGGAAAAGTGATGAACATTTTCTTATGTTAAAAAGAGAAGAATATTGTTGAACTCTGTGGCAGACCGAAATAGAACTATGTTGTCACATTAGAGCTTCAGTTGTTAACCTCACTGCTTAATAAAGTGTTACCACATTAGCAACTTGCCTATTAGGCAACTTTATTAGGAGACTACTCTGTGTGTTGAGTTAACTATTAACATTAGTAAGGGCTCCATTATATTAGGTACCCCATTAAGGGTGACCTCCATTCATTGTTAGACTCTGCTTTCCCTTTTTTATGTGAAGTCAGAATATGTGCGTTAAAAAGGCATATCCATGTGCGGGGACCTCTTATTAAACTATAGAAGCCTAACATGACAGAGGTAGGCCCAAGGTTCAATCTTCAATTGTAAATGGCCTGTTCAGAAAAAAAAGACAATTGGGACTTTATGATAAATTAATAAAAAAAGGACAATGACACAATACAAATGTAACACTTTTTTTGTAAACACAAGACTTATTTTCCTAATAAAAAAAAATATATATTTTACATATTTATTGTTTTGCATCATTTTAAAATACACAAACATAACAGATGACAAAAGATAAACAGGAAGAAGCAGACAACCCACTTCTCAATAAAGTTACAATCCATAAGAAACACAATACTAATGTACAAACAATAATATGAATTCAAAAGCAGACATTAACACCAACATCAACAAAATAACACGACAGTCTGTGGTTTGTACTTGTTTAACTTTTGTCTAGTTTCTGAACAGATATGAGGAGCTGTGAGCTCTGAGTGCTAACAGCTAACGGCTGATGTTGTTTTTGTGTTTCTCATTGAAGATGACGTCACGGCTCCGCCTACACTGCGTTACTATAGATACTGCCCCAGTTCCTAAACTGTAATGGAAATGCAGCATAAAGTGAGCCAGTCCTAACGAGGCCTAACAAGGCCTAGCCATACCGAGCGAGGCCGAGCGAGGCCGTGTAGTGGAAATGTGCCATTATAGTCAATATGTAAATGGTCTTTCAGGCATTTTTAAAGCATTTTATAGACAGACAGTATTTGATGTGTTATGCGTCAACCATTTAAGTGCCGCTTAAATACCTCCACCTGTACATGATTCTCTGTGAATAAACTCCATTTATACAGAGCTGTTGATAAAACAAACTAATGGATAAATCAGCTAAAAGTGTTTCACGGACAGCCTTAGCTATGGTTGTTATTGTTAATGTTCATTTGAGCGTTGTTATGATCCAAAAGAGTCAAAAGCCACCGGTTCAAACTGTGTTTTCATGAGGATGAGTTCATGTCATGGTATCTGTTGTACTGCAGTATTTCTGCCAGTGATGTGCTAACGTCACCAGATGGCAGTGCTGATTCAAAGTTCTCTTTCTCCTCAGGTTTCTCCTTTTGTTTTTGTTTCATACATTTCTATGATTCAATGATGTAGTCCTTTACCTTGCATGTACAGTAAAGAATAAAAGACTCAACTTATTTTAAGCGGAAACATGGGTGAAATTGAATTGTGTTTTCTGTACGGTAATTCATTTATTAACAGTAGGATTTAAAAAACAAACACACACACATATTATACACACTCAAACCTTTTCATCTGGAACATCATTCCATAAACTTGGCTTGTATCTGCTGCCCCCTCCCTCTCTCACTGGTCCTTTCTCTCGCTGACAGAGGGGGGAGACAAAAGCTCTGATTCTATCTTCAACTGGCACAGTTGGTTCAGAGAGATACTTTAACATGCTATACTGTAATAATGCAGGTTTGCCAGGGTCACTGAGTGCAGCAGACACATTATATATCTTCAATTCACATTGACTCAGCAGGTGAGTGAGCACAAACACATTTCCGTGTGTCAGTAGAGAATTATTCAGACAGCTGGACCTCCAAAGGCCATGAAGTAATATGGTCCTCTCCTGAAATGTTGCTACCTTTGGCACAATGAGGGCAGGCTCCAATGTGTTTTATATATATGCAGTTTTTTGGTTTCAAATGACAGTTTCCCCCAAGGTCCTGTTCACGTCCAACTCACAGCCTGTCAGCCGAGGGGAGAACACACATGTGGACGCTGATTCAGAACTGTGTGAGGTGGAGAGAGGAGCAGCTCACTGCTCTTCTCCAAACTCTTCTTTTATACAATGAACAGATGTACTGTATCTCTGCGGTCTTCAGTGGGATTATGATATGAGTAACAACAGGCTGACTGTGTTTACTCCTCTCCCCTGCAGCGACGCCACCAACTGATCCATCACAGTAACCCTCAGCTGGAGAACACACAGCACCTGGCCGTGGGGAGAGGGGGGTCTCAGCAGGGGGGCCGGCAGATGGTGACACTGCAGCAGCACTTCTCCAGGTAGCCCCTTCCCCACCCTGAAACTCCGTCACACACTCTACACACGTTTGATACATTTGGTGGGTTTGATCTGGTTAGAGGCTACCGACTGCTATTAACTCCACATCCAAAACTGAACTGTGAGCTGTGGCCAAGTTGCATTGTTGGCAATGTAGGTGTCAGGTTTTTGACAAGGAAGATGGAGGCACGGATTAAAAAGAGTACATTTGCTTTGAATTTTTAAATCAATTTATTTATGACACTGTTGGTTCTCTATTAATTAATCAGATTATAATACATTGGCAAACATTTATTCAACAACATAAACATATAATATAACAAATATTATTCATAAGGATAAATGTGGTTTTCTATTTCTTTTGAAAAAGGTGTTTGAAGACACATATTTGACATATTTGAAAAAGTGAGTGCATACTCCCTGGTTACAGTACTGCAGGTTTCTGTGTATCTGTATGTCTGACATTAGCATGTGGCTATGATAAGCAAACACCGACCAAGACTCTGTGTTTCTGATATATATTCTACCTAAACACACAGAATGGTCTTCAAAGGTTGAAGTAAGTGTAAGGTTTACAAATCCTTTTCAATCATTGTCATTTTCAGTATTTCAAAATAATGGAACATACAACTAGTGTCCCGAAGCAGTCAGATCTATGGGCAACAAAAAAATATGTGGGTTTACGCTTTTATGTAAAAAACAGGAGATGTTTCAGAACTAAACTTATTGGCCATTTGTCTTCAGTGACATAAGATGGTGGCGTGCCTCAAGTGATTGAACCAAGTTAAATTAAAGCTGCATAAGTGCCTTTTCCATTTGATTTATCGTATCAGCTTAGATATGAAGGGGAAGCAGTCTCTATGATTCTCTCTAGGTTGGTCACTATATCAATTACACATATTCATTAAATCCATTGTTAGAGGAAATGTAATTATTGCTCATTTAATTTAGCCCCAGGTTATTTGCTAGCTAAAAGGTTTGTGCAGGTGAAACAAGCTGACATTTTAAACAAAGCATCTTGGTATTCAAATTAAAGACAAGATATTTTCATGTGCCACAGTCTCCTAATTTGTAAATGAGTCTACAGTACTTATTCTTCTACTATTAGCTGATGGATATATCCAGACAATCTTTTCTTGCCTAGTTATTCTCAATCTAGCGTTTTTAGGCACAAACATTTATCCAATTAGCCTGGTCTAATCCTAACCCAATGAAATGAGTGTTGTAATGTCCTCAATACTCCGTTCTATCACCAGTTTAACACTACAGATTGCCAGTTCAGGTGACGTGAGGTTTTCCTGTTTCAATGTTTCCCAGAGTTTCCCCTGGATCGCAGCTGCTCATTTGTCAGGATAAGAAAACCCAGTGACCACAGTTCAATGACAAACTTTCCAACTGAGCAACAAAATAATGCCTAGAACATAACCATCAATGTTCAAACTCTAAAAGTGTTGAACGGCTGGGCTTCTGTTTGGACTTCCATCATTTTCATTAAGTTAAGAGCACACATGAGATTGTCTTTGCTTAGTTTTTGGGAGTACCAGCCATTAAAACTTGATATGAAAAAGTGTCAACCTACTGCTGGAGACTTCCACTGCGTCCCCTCTTATTGATCTGCCCTCACAGCATACCATAAAGAGAAATAATAACCCAGCATTATGTCCAGCCAAGTGCTGACGGGCCCTCATGATCCCACTTCCATATCATCTGCATATGCTCAGCGAGGTGTAAGATTAGGCCTGACGATTTGTGACTGTAAATTAGTTCAACCCTGCCATGCAGAAGATTTCTGCACTGATGCCTGATATTTAGGGAAATTAGAAATGAGGTTTATTTTTCTCCTTGTTAGTTAGTGCGAGGGGAAGTGTCAGTCAGCTGCAGAGCATCATACATAGAACAGAATCGTCAAATGATGGTTAAAGTCTCTAACAACTAGCATGTTTTCTTTAAGTCACCATTTATTTTACTTTGGCTATAGAGTTGGAGTTAGAGTTACTTATATTATGTCTATCATATACATTTAAAACGTAAAGATACATTCTCTCTTTCTGTAAAATAGTTTATCCTGGAATAATTTAGAGTTACAGGGAGAACATAAAAAAAATATCTAAAAAACATGACTCATCCATCACAATTTTTTAGAACGTGTAATGTTATAAATGAAAATGCATGACTGCACTGAAGGAGTTTCTTTTAAAGGTCCCCTATCATGCAAAATTCACTTTTTGATGTATTTTCTACATAAATATGTGTCCCCGGTGTGTCAGGAGACTCCCAAAGTGTCAGAAAATAAAACCCTCTCTCTTTTCCTCCGTACCCAAATCTCTAAGAACGGGGGTACAACGGAGCTGATCCAGATTTGCGTCCGATATGACGTCATATCTGAAATGTGGGCTTGCTTTACACAAGAGACTAGAGAGTGCTGGAAATTTTTTTGGGCGGAGAGGGCCTTTTATCAGTTATTAAAGTATTAAAGTTGAAAAGCAATGATTAAAAGTTCCCCCATTCCAGGCTTTGAACCAGGAGGACATCGCTGCATTTGGGCCGCCGGCTCTATCCACTGGGCTATATATTCCTTAAACTATTGAACTGTTTTTATATTAGTCATAATTGTCTTTTTGTTCACAACTTCTCCACATTTCGAAGTGTTTCCCGAGCCAGAACGACCTATCTTTCTTCCTGGCTTGCTCTATAATGATCCAATTCAAATGCAATACCAACACCAACTCAACAGCAACAACGCAAACTACGTCAACCCACACATTGCGCATTGTTTAGAGCGGTTATAAAGTGTTGAAGCGCTCAAATTCGAAACTTGGTCAGAGGGCCTAGGTATAAAAGTCACGGCTCGCCACTGCCTTGTGGTAATCCTGAGAGAGAAAAAGCATTTGAGCTCCATACTGTTTCAGAAATAATGCTTGATGTGGTTTGGAACATGATATGGCATTTAATCACGGCAGCGTTTAGCTGAGTTTCTGCTGGTAGAATTCTCCTGCATGAGCTCCCCCTCCTCTTTTTTTTAAAGCTACGGACCCAGAATCAGCACTTTAGGGCTGAAATAGATGGATATGAGGCATGACTAGAATGGGTGATCTGTTTGGTATTTTGAGCAAAACACTCCATAGACATGTTTTTTATATATTTTTATATATCTGAGACATAATATATGCCTAAAAATTGTATAATAGGAGACCTTTAATATGTGATACAATTACAGATAGATACGTGGACTGTCAAAAACCCAGCACACACATGCAAATGTGTTAGTGGCTGCAGTGACCTGATGCTTTATGAAATAAAGTATGAACCTCTGAGGAGAGCAGCAGCGAGGTGCTTCACACACAGGGTGTGTTTGTTTTATTGTGGAAAGGGGTCACGTTACTACAGTAATCAAAGGGAAGTAGGCCGATCATTCAGTTATTGAGTGCAGCCTGTGGCAAAATGTCACAGAGCTGCAGAAAGCCAGTCAGAGCGAGGGGTCAATCCCATTTGAGACTCATTTCATATACAGACTGTGAACGCATGCATCAGTGCACATTGGGGGAGGTGGTGGCCGAAAGACCAAGTGCTACCGAGGTGTCCCTGAGCAAGGCAGCTTCCCTACATTAATAACAGCATTTATTATTTAAACATTACCCAGTGAACACTATAAAAAACTCAATGTAATATAACAGGAGCACAGAGCAGTGTAGTTAAACCATAAAGAATCAAACTCCGAACAACAAGGAAAGTGTAGATATATTCACTTCAAGGAGGTCATACCATAGTGAGTGCTGGGGAATTAGCTCAAAGAGTGTTTCTGTTTTTTTCTATTCAGCAATCATTTAATTGCCAAGGTACAGTCGAAATAGTCGGAAGATCTGCAGAGTTTCTGCTGTCCTGATGTCAATGGGGAGCTCATTCCACCATTTAGGACCCAGGATAGCAGACAGGCGTGTTTTTGAGGGGAACCTCACGTAAGTCCGAAAAGTGAAGACTGTTCTCAGCTACAGTTGAACTATAAGCTTACTAACGTGTTAGTTTGCTGGGTAATGTCCTTACCAACCGTCAGTATAGTTGCTGATCCTCCACCACAATGAACATGTGATGTTTAGGTCAATATGTCATCAATTTGGTAAAAACGTAGATTAGTTACACAGCATAATCAGCACTAAACTGTTATTCATTTATTACTTTGCAAGTATGAGCTGCAGTTTCTTTCTAAATCAAAAGCATTGAATAGTGTATCGGCAATGTATTTAATCATACAAAAAAAGCATTGAAGCAATTTTGAACTTTTCATGTTAATCATCTACAATATAACTCAACATTATTTATTAATGTGGCACTTTTCATACAAACACATGCTCTGACGCTTCACATATAGAGAAAAAAAATGATACCGTACAATACAATAAAAATACAATGTTAAACGTGAGTAAATACAAATCAGTGGAATAAGAGAAAATAAACTGAAGGGATAGGGATTCAAATTGAAAGGCTAGCTTGAAAAGATAGATTTTAAATTTTATTTTACATAAACTTCATTTGGAAATCTGCTTTTAAATCAGCCATCCAAGGAAAACATTTAAAAATGCTTATTGCAATTATTTTAAATCAAAAAAGAACTCTGTTTAACCATAATGTCTTTCATGCATCCCCTGTGTTATTGTACTATGTGATTGCTGTACAAGAAGGTAGTGTTTTTCAGTTGCATGTGGAAACTCCACCAATTTGACATATGGAGATCAGCTCATTGGTCACAGGGAGTAAAACAGTGAAAGCTTTTCATCTGAGCCCAGCACCTTAATGTAACATTCCCTCAAATAAAAGTAAGACCGACCATTTTTTAGCTTTCATCCAGCAGAACTTCTGAAATGAGTTTGAACCCGGAGCGAGACGGCGCTGACCTGTCTCCTGCCAGACTGCGGTCATGTGACGAGGCAGAGAGGAAGAGGCCTGGTTAGGTTGGAGTCACACGGGGCAGCAGCTTGTTCTCCTTCTTTGTGAGAGCACTCAACTG